ATGCGCCACCATGCCCGGCTAATTTTTTCTATATATTTTTAGTTCTCCAATTAATTTCTTTCTATTTTTAGTAGAGACGGGGTCTCGCTCCTGCTCAGGCTGGTCTTGAACTCCTAGCCTTAAGCAATCCTCTCACCTTGACCTCGCAGAGTGCTAGGATTATAGGTGTGAGCTACCATGCCCGGCCAAACGTGCACTTTTTACTTAAGATTTCCCCTATTCCACCCACTTTTCTCTACCCTATACTCTAGTTTTAGGCCATATAATTTGGAAAATTATAACAGTCAAGTTTTGGTGTCCCTGTCTCTAGCCTTGTGCTTCTCAAATATAAGTTCCACAAAGTATCCGGAACAATTTATCTACAACATGATCATGATCACTCAACTGCTAAAATCTTTTCAGTGGACCCCACATCATGATAAAGTCCATATTCATTTACATGAGATACACTCTACCCTTGTCCTGGTCCAACTCATCTGCCACAGCCTTTTGCTAATTCTTGACTCAAACTTTATGCTTTAAGGCTTTAGGACCACCACACTGCTTTTTAATTTATCACATACACCATGCTGTCTTTTGCATCAAGACCCTAATCACACAGTCCCCTTGTCTGGAGTGTGCTGGCTAATACACAGAAATTATTTGGGATCAGTTTAGGTGTCATCTTTTCTGGGAAGCCTTCTCTGACCACTATCCCTCATTATCCTATGTTTGTATCTTACCATTCTGTTTCATTATTATTTGTTTATGTAGTTTCCTTAAGAGTTAAGACTACCGTACTCAATTCTGTATCCTTAGTACCTGACACACTGCCAGGCACACCAGAATTTAATGAGTTCTTATTAACTGACTGAAAAGTTAGAACAGATTTCTTTCCTTTTTTTTTTTTTTAAAGAGATGGGGTCTTGCTTTGTTGCCCAAGCAAGAACTCTTGGCCTCAAGTGATACTTTCACCTAAAACCTCTCAAGTAGCTGGGACTACAGGTGAGGGCCACTATACCCAGCAGAACATTATTTCTTGACTCCTAATTCAGTGCTCTTTCTACCAATGTAAATTGTTCAGGTAAAGGCTTCTACAATGAAGATTATCCTCATGATGAAAAAGTGTTTGCTATGAACACACTATTGCTTACTAAAATAATTTAGCTTGAATTCAACCATGAATAGCAAAGTTTCCTGATCCACTACAGCACACGGTGATCTCTTCTTCAAAATTTTTAAAGTAGTTTCTTTTACTTATTTGGCTATAGTATTGTTTTTCACTTTTTCAGTACATTTCCTAACTAGATGAAAAAACAACTTGGGAACATAATCTGTGTAGTTTTGTTTTCCTACCTACAACATATCTGTTACAATG